CATTATCTTGCCTACTTGCTTAGTGTTAGTTGTATTGTTGCAAGAGATGCCTTGTCTATAAAATATAGGGGGAGTGTTGATCCTAGTATGTGTGTCGTGCAGTCCAAAGCACTTCTCTAGAGTGCACACATCTAGGGGGAGCCCGTCTATATTTTATAGATGGTGTGTTTGCCATTGTTTCATTTTATATCCCTATGTGCAAATCCCGTATTGTCATCAATCCACCAAAAAGGGGGAGATTGTAAGGGCATATTTATCCCTTAGTAGTTTTGATGATTGATGACAATGCTTTTGCGGACTAATCGTGTGCATTGAGCATTTCAGATATATCATGTCTAAACACAAGACAATTTGGTGCCCCTCGGAGACTATTGAAGACGGCGTTTCTCTACGTTTCTTTTCGGTGGATTTAAGTCGTAGGAAAGTCGTACTATTAAGAGGGGGTCTGCGTTGGAAAGGTTTGGGTGGAATCAACACGTACACGTCTGTCCCTTTTTGCACCACCTTTCCTTTGGCTCTTTGGAGCATCCTCCGTCTCTCCGTGTCTCTGCAAAATGAAGGACTCCTAGTGTTGCTGAACTAAGGCAAGCGATAGTACTGCTCCCCGGAGCGGTACTACCATAGGCCCTTGCGGTAGTACCGGCCCCCAGCACGGTAGTACCGTAGGTGTCACTGTAGTACCGCTCCTTGGGAGCGGTAGTACCGTGGCCTCAGGCCAGGCGCAGCTGCTCGATTTTTTACATCCGCGCCCTATGCGGTAGTACCGCTCCATGGGCGCGGTAGTACCGTGAGCTCTGGCCAGGCACAGCAACATGAGTGGAAGTAGGGGCGGATGTTATTTTTTACATCCGCGCCCTACACGGTAGCACCACTCCAGGCTTGCGGTAGTACCATGTCGGATTTTTGTATAGATCAAAACTCAACGGAAGTAGTCACTGAAATATTTTTATATGTCCGTGCCTTCTCAGCCTAGACTATTCATGCCTTGCGGTAGTACCGCAAGGGGGCGCGGTAGTACTGCGCCAGCAGTTCTACCGTTCTCTGCCTCTGCGCTACAGGTCTGGTCTAGCCCCTGCCTCGCCAGCGGTAGTACCGCAGTGCCATTCGGTAGTACCGCATGCCTTTGCGATAGTACCGCATGTCTGGTGCGGTAGTACCATACCGCTCTTCGCGGGCTGAGTTGGTGGATAACGGTTGGATTTGTTCTTTCACTATATAAGCGGAGTCTTCTTCTCCGAGTTGACCACCTCTTCCACCTCCAAGCTCCATTAATGCTCTAAGCTCCATTTTCTCCCGATCTCTCTCCCTAGCCAATCAAACTTGTTGATTCTCTAGGGATTGGTTGAAAAGGCCTCGATCTACACTTCCACCAAGAGAAATTTGATTCACCCCCTTGCGTATCTTGTTACGCTTGGGTGTTTGAGCACCCTAGATGGTTGAGGTCACCGCGGAGCCATAGTCCATTGTGGTGAAGCTTCGTGGTGTCATTGGGAGCCTCCAATTAAGTTGTGGAGATTGCCCAACCTTGTTTGTAAAGGTTCGGTCGCTGCCTCCAAGGGCACCAATAGTGGAATCACGGCATCTCGCATTGTGTGAGGGCGTGAGGAGAATACGGTGGCCCTAGTGGCTTCTTCGGGAGCATTGTGCCTCCACACCGCTCCAACGGAGACGTACTTCCCCTCAAAGGGAAGGAACTTCGGTAACACATCCTCGTCTCCATCGGTTCCACTCTTGGTTATCTCTTACCTTTACTTGTGCAAGCTATATTGTGTTATATCCTTTGCTTGCTTATGTGCTTATTGTTGTTGCATCATATAGTTTGCTCACCTAGTTGCATATCTAGACAACCTACTTTGATGCAAAGTTTAATTTGGTAAAGAAAAGCTAAAAATTGTTAGTTGCATATTCAGCCCCCCCTCTAGTCAACTATATCGATCCTTTCAGGCGTGTTGGATGTTCGTTTGGAGAGGAGGCGATGATGACAGTGTGCCCGCCCTGTGACGCGGTCGATGCCAACTTGATGAAATAACCGTGCGGTGATGACAGTGTGCCCACCCTGTGTAATCCATGGGGTGACGATGTTGGTGATAATTTAGCCTTTGCGATGCCGAACTCTTGGTCAGCTCGCCGAGATGATGATCCGATGAGGTTGACCTCGGCGCGACGAAGCGATGATTTGTTTAGTGCAGGTCGGCAGCCGTGAAGCAACGTTGTCGAGCTGGTTTGACACCGATGCAACGGTGAAGATTACCTGAGAAAAGGCTTTAGAATTTGTGGGCACGTGTTTGAGAACAACACACAATACCCTAAGAAAAAATCCTCCAAAAAGGATGTCCAATATCCCATTCACAAAGAAAGATGAACTTGGGTCGGATTCGTTTTCACGCACCGAAAATTGATGCACTCATCGAAAGTTTTCCGGAGTTTAAACGGTCGGATCGAGCTAAAATTTTGAGGGGTGATCGATATGGGAATTACGCATCTGATGAACGGTGGGATTTTCCAATTGATGTCCGAGCTGGATTCTGCACCCCTCGCCCTAAACTCGTCCAGATTCGACAGTGCTCCTGTATATTGGAGATTGCCGGAGATTCCTCCATTCGAATGCGACGAAATTTTATAGGGTTGTTGTAGACTCAATTCCATACAATTCCACTGAAGCAATCATCAAAGCGATGATCGAGGATATGGGGACGGCGAACATGAATCTGCTATCTAGAAGAAACTGTTGCCAATCTGCAGATGAGCCATCAATTCTTCGCGATCCAACAATGAGCTCTCAATGAAAGCACCAGTGTCGGTGTCAAAACCGACAGATCTTGGGGTTGGGGGTCCCGAGCTGTGGATCTCGGATAGATGGTAACAGAAAAAGAACACATAATGAGTTTACCCAGGTTCGGGCCGTCTCTATGGAGGTAAAACCCTACGCCATGCTCGTGTTTATATTATGAAGGTATCGAAGATCTACCTCGAGATTGTAAGTTGTGATCTAAACCCTAAGGGTATGATGAATGGGTGTATGGATGTGTGTTATCATCATCTATCAAATAACATGGGCGGAGAGGAGGCCTAGGATAACAAGAGTCCTAGTCAGCTACGTGGGGGAAGAGGAGTCCTTGTCTTGACCACACGGTCTCGTGGAATCTTCCTCGCATATGTCATGGGCTACCCGAAGAAGCCCATTAGTGAACCGCCATGGGGGTCCTCGACCCGACCCACCTGGTCGGGATACGACGCGGTGAGTACCCCCTAGTCCAGGACACTGTCACGAAAGAAGGGTGACATCCATAGTTAGGTGCACATCATGGTGCATGCATCTTGATATCCTAATCACGGGGAGAGGAGGAGTCAAGCGGCGGAGGCTAAACCTCATTTTGTAGGAGGACCCCTACGTGTAGGGGAATCGACCGTTGAAGAGAGATAGAAGAGAGGCTCACACAGTGCAGGCTGAATCAAGAAAAAAATTCAATAAAATTGGTGGAAGGGGAATGATAACAAAATTGGTAGGGTAACCCTTTGACCGGTGGGAGTCGATGGTACCAACGAGGACTACTACGGACTGCCATTAAATAACAGATTGTCCTTTAATAATAAAGAGGGAGATTATAGACATGGAATTGATTCTTTTCCATAAATGTCCCCTTGTGTTATCAAACATTTGATTCCTTTTATTTGATCTTTAAAGATTGATTATAGATCACCGTGATTGATTCATTTTCATAACGACATTACTAAATATACCTCAGATCGATCTACATGATCTGTGTAGATTTGGCAGATAAAAAACGGATTAAGTGGACCAGTGGGATAAAACCGGTTAAAATAAACTTGTGGGATAGAAAAAATTGGCGCGGGAGGGGGAAGGGTTAACCAAAATGAACACGATGCTACTAACCATGCATACAGGCCTGTGTCGATTTTGATAGTATGCTGACCACGAAATAATAGGTTGGTCATAGGAAAATAATGAATTGGGAAAACAAGAAACCAAAACACAAACTTAGGGAAAAAAAGAAGAAAAAAACGTGTGCACGCATCAAATTGGCCGGCCAACTTTGAATATTTAATTGTATTTGATGTTTTGGTAAGATTTGATTTGATTTGTGTATGAGTAGTGGAATGTAAGTAAAGTTCGGATTTAGTTGAGATTTTTTTAAGATTTGATTTGAACAATTTAGTGCATTGACATTGTTTTGGAAAAGTGCCGATTTGATTGAGTTAATGCACGCATAAAATGAGCTGGCCCAACTTGACCGCGCTTCAGTGGAAGGTCACATATCTGACGCTCGTCAGCGTAATATAGGTTTTGCCGTGGGGCTGATGGAAATGAACGAGACTTGCCTGCTCCCCACGCGTGTGCCCATCCGTGCTCCCGCGTACGTGGCTTGATTTGATTGGAACAAAATAAGGTCCGACCCCATCCCCTTAAAATCAGGGGGGAGATGATTAGATTAGAAAGAAAAAGGAAAAAAACAGCCATAGGATGAAGTGGGAGCACGGATGGAAGCACGGGGAAGGAGCAGCCAAGCCGGATCCGATGGAATCGTGGAAATGAGGCGAGAGTACCAACTCCCCTCAAGAGTAGAGATACGAAGCCGGGTCGGACGTGTTTTCCTTGGGTCCGGTTGATTAAGGGAAAAAACAGAACAGAACTCTGCCCGGCATGTATATAAACCGCGTCCGCAACTGATCCAACACGTACGTACCAGCAGGTCCTGAATCCGGCTCCTTCCCCGCCTTATCTCTCCCGTCCCCCCCGTGTTCGTCTCTCTCTCCCCTTCTCTCTGTCGCACGTCTAGTTCGAAACCTACTCCACAAACGCCGCGGATTTCACAAGGTATATAGTTTGTTTCCACGATCTTTGGAATCTGGTTCGTCGAGTTGTGCCATTGTGTGTGTATCTGCTTTCCTTATATCGTGGGTTTCGATCGCAAGTAGGTTTTTTCGGGATCAATCGAATCGAATCTGTTGTTGCGGAAGTAAGAGAGGCAGGCGACGGCATGGATCGCGATGAGGAGAAGGGCCACGGCGACAGATCACTGCTGTTCATAGGCGACGAGGACGACGACCTCGGCGTGGACCGGGATGGCGGCTCGCCACCCTCGTCGGACGCGGGATCCTCCTTCTCGGACAGGAGCGACGACGGCGGTGACGGTGACGGTGCCGACGACGGCACCGGCACCGGCAGCGGCAGTGGCAGCGGCAGCGATGACGACGCCGACGCCGACGGCGACAAGGAACGCGCGCCCAACGTCGCCAGGCAGCAGGCCGCGTGGCCGCAGAGTTACAGGTCGGTCCATCGATGGATCTTGCATTGCATGCCTGGTTCCACGCCTGATTAATTTAATTATAGTATTATAATATTTCTGACGAGATAAATTTATTTTCATGTGTTGTTACTCGGCGTCGCGCGCAGGCAGTCGATCGACATGTTGAGCGCCGTCCAGTCGCCGTCGGTGAGTAGCATCGTGGCGGCCAGCCCGAGCATCACCAAGTTGGGGAGCTCTTTCCTCAAGGCCGGAAGCTCCTTCTTCCTCAAGAAGGGCGCCACCGAGGGCTCGCTGCCCCTCACCCGGCCATTGCTACCGCCCTCTCTCTCGCAGCTGTCGCAGCAGCAGCAGCAGCAGCACGCAGGGCGGCCGTCGACAGACAGCTTGCAGCCGCGGCAACCGGCTCCGCAGCCACCCGCGGTGCAGCAGAGGCCCTCTGCGGCGTGCCTGAAATCCAACTACATTGAGCTCCCACCGCCGTCCTCCAAGTGCAGCAGTGGACAATCTATCATCAACGGTACATCTCAATTTGTCTTTCCATAGTTCAAATCATGTAGTAGTACTGCATTGCTAATTGTCAGTACTGTAATTTTCCTGTTCTAATGTTTCTTTTCACTACTGTAGGCCTCAATGTCCTGTGCGGTGTTGGAATTCTCACCACGTGTTTCGGAATCAAACAAGCAGGATGGTTAAGCCTCCTCCTCCTTCCCTTGTTGGGAGCCTGTTCATGCTACACCGGTTTGCTTCTCAAGAGATGCATAGACAGCTCGCCAACCATCGAAACATACCCTGATATCGGACGAGCCGCTTTCGGTACCCCGGGTCGAATATTTGTATCGGTATGTATATTTACCTACTGTTCACCTATTTGTACAGATTTAGCAAAATTCACATCACTCATATTGCTGCTCATGTTTCTTTTGCAGGTTGTCCTTTATCTAGAACTCTATGTAAGTGTTCTCTCTCTGAATTCTGGCAGTATTGTGTTTTGAAAACGTTTGGTTCTTGCATATCTGATGTAACATCCCGCTTATTTACAGGCATGCTGCGTGGAGTACATCACACTGCTAGGAGACAGCTTGTCTTCAGTGTTTCCTTCTGCGCATTTAGCTTTTACCGGCATCTACTTGAACTCTCATAACCTGTTCGCCATATCAATGGCTTTGGCAATTCTCCCATCAGTCTGGCTCAGGAACCTCAGTCTCCTCTCCTATCTTTCTGGTGAGTACTACTAATTTGAATCTTTACAAATAAATTTTGTACTGTTCATAAACAATTTTTTGCAACGATATCAATATTAGTATCGCCACTTATTCTCCCAGTTCAATCTTTTCATAGCAACAAACAGTAGTTAATACTTGCATATTGCCTCCCACTCCTTCATGACCATCTTTCATCTGAAATTTCGCAGCCGGAGGCGTGGTTGCAACGATAACAGTCGTTGTGTGCCTGTTTTGGGTTGGTATTGGCGATGGAGTTGGGTTCCACCCTTCTGGTAGTGCACTGAACCTGACCCAGCTTCCAGTGGCACTTGGCTTGTATGGATACTGTTTCTCAGGGCACTCGGTTTTCCCAAACATATACTCATCAATGAAGGAGCGCTCGCAGTTCCCTTTTGTCCTCCTGTTCTGGTAAGGTTCTGAACTTGACAAATGAAATGCTACAGTACCATACTATGCTCTGCTTCTGCAGTTATCTGTCGATTTTTGCTACATGCTAACATGCGCTATTGTCCACATTTCAGCTTTATAGTGGTCACAATTGTGTACTCTGGGGTCGCGGCCACAGGGTTTCTGATGTTCGGCGAGTCCACAATGTCGCAATTCACACTGAACATGCCACAGCAGTATGTTCCTTCTAAAATCGCCATTTGGATGACGGTATGAGGAAAATCAAACCCAGGGAGAGTTACTCCACTTGTATCAGAATTAGCATACAGGTTCTCATTCTCACAATGGATCCCTTTGGTTTCAGATTGTGAACCCATACACCAAATACGCCTTGACGATGACACCGGTCGCCTTGTCGATAGAGGAGGCTCTGCCTAAGATGATGCGAAATTACGTCGCAGGAATGTGTGTTAGGACAGCTCTTGTCCTCTCGACTGTCGTCGTGGCTCTATCTTTTCCATACTTTGGTACTTGTCACTTGCTTCTATTTTTCTCCCATATTAGCAGTTCACTAAATTAACCCCCAAAACGTCATGCATTCTAATACTATGGCCATTGCCATTTGATTTGCAGCCTTGGTGATGGCATTGCTTGGATCTCTCTTCACAATGCTAGTGGTGAGTGCCTGCAATTATGCAGCTGTTAACTGAACCTATATTCAGTAACTTTGCAATATTATTTTCCCTGACGATTAGCATTTGCATTTGCAGGCCCTGATCCTCCCTTGTGCATGCTACCTCTCCATCAAGCGGGAATTAGTACCTTTGTGGGAGGTAATCGATTAACTGAAAACCGCAGGCTAAAACACCAACAGAACATCTAGCCTTGAAGATGCTAAGCACAATTTGCTTATGATGTAATCTCTACTCTTTTTTTCCTTTTTCAGGTGGTTTTGTGCATAACAATCATATTGATTGGCTTGGGTTGCGCGTGCGTTGGATCATACACTTCGATTAACCAGATGATAGGCGGCAGTTAGTAGGGAAGTGCCAGAGTGCATCGGACCTGTGTGTAGTTGTTGCAGATTATTTTTCTTTTGAAATTTCACAAAATTGGAGAGGGCAGTTTTCCATTTGTTGTATGCCTTCCTTCTTTTGCAATATACATCGCAAGAAAGGTTTTCGTATTTTTACCGTAATACGGTACTTGTTGTATTTTGCCGTCCATGATAGCACAATATTTCAGAATAGACCGAGGATTTAGTAGCTGCCTATTCATATCTTTTATTAGGGCTACTTAGAAAATTGGAAGAGCGAGGTCTTGTGTGACCACCACGTCATTCCCGAAAAAATAAGAGATGAGATAGAACTACACCTTGCTCTCCCAATTTTCGAAGTAGCTTTAATAAAAAATATAAACAGGCAATTACTAAATCCTCGGTCTATTCTGGAAAAAGGAGGGAACAAACATGAGTGTGTCACACTTGGTATTGTGGAAGCGCTTGCCCCAAATGAGCATATCGTAGGCCGCCCTTTGAAGAACATCACAAGCATGGCAAGCATGATGTTGAAGATAGATTGCCTTTCCAGGTTGTCACGGTGACTAATTGCTTCCTGATATCCTCGACGAATATGATGTGCCTATTAGATGAATATATCTGGTTTTTTTTGAGCAACCGATGAATATATCTGTTGTGCCCTGAATAGTAAGGGTTCGTAGTATCAGGAAGAATCCTCCTCCATCAGTGTTTAAGAACCAAGGTATCAAGCCCATGGAGCTCCCCTACAACCCAATGATCAGCCCTGCACGCAATAATAAGGTTTTAATCTCACTAGTTTTACTAGTTACAAAAAGTAATGTACGGGTGGTCGAAATTGATTTTGTTTACAGATGAATTAAAATTCAGAATATTAATTAAATAGTAACTATAAATAAAGTAAATGATTTAGAATTTCGAGGAATAAAGGGTTGGGATTCTTAATTTCAGTAGTAGCGCTTCTCCAATTTAGCATAGGTGTGCTAAAAAAGTACAGTTGTGTATCAATTACATTATAATGTTTACGGTTAATCATACATGTCATTATTGCATATATGCATTACATCCTTATATATTTTTTTTTTATTATCTAACTACATCTATAACTAATACTTCACACAAAGACCACTACACAAAATGCATCTCAAAGTATTAAGTAAAAACATAACATTGCGTTAAACAAGGTATATTCTATTTACTTATAATTCATCACCAAAACAACTAGGCAACTACATTTTTATCTTGGGTGGTAATAACACACTACTAGGGCTGCAAGAAAAGCTCGAGGCTCCTGAGCCGCTCAAGATCGACTCAAAGTTTGGCTCGACTCGAGATTGACTCGAAAAGAAATGAGCTGAGTATGAGCACTTTATATAGCTCAATCAAGAAACGAGCTCATCTTGAGCCAACCCTGGCTCGCTTGATTTTAGCTCGATATCATGTAATTTTATGAAATAATCTTATAAATATTTAAATAATTTATTGTCATATATGCTGTGTACAATTTTTCTTCATTTTACGTACTAACAAACATGGAAGCTTAATTTAGCACGAAGATAATCTAGCCTCAGTATCGTACGTGGCAAGCCGTGTGTTAAATATCCTGTTACTATTGGCCAAAGTTTTAGACCGGATGTACCAGTCTTCAATAAGTCAAATTTTACAGTGGTTTCTTATGTTGTGTTTTGGCCTATCTTAAAAAATTGCATTATATCGTCAAGCAAATCATCTTATTTAGATCGAAACTAGCTTGAGATCGACTAGAGTTCATTACAAGCTAGGCACGAGCCACTTTACATTGCTCAAGTTTGAGCTTCGCACAGTCTGAGCTCGCTCAAATTTTAGTATAAGCTGATTGTTTGCAGCCCTACACACTACCGACCCTTTTCCCTTTTCTGTTACTGAGATAGTTCCAACCAGCATACACGACTTCATCTTGAAGATCATTCGTCTCTTTTCTGCGGACCTGTTCGGGCCGTATTTTTGGCCCGCCCCGAAACCGGCCGCAAAACGCAGTTCGCGGGAGTTATACGGGATCTGCTAGAGATGCTCTAAAATAACTAAAAGCGAGGGTTATACTGGAAGAGTCAAGGTGCTAGCAGGAGGGGTCTCCTCGCGGCGGCAAGATTTCTACTACAGGCATCGTCAACAACAATATCACCAAACCGGCGGACGTCGTCAAGGTGGCCACTGCCATGAGTGGTCTCACGGTCTCCGAGAAGGGGGCTGTTCCTTCCGTCAAGATGATCACCGGCCAGGTGGGCCGGGCTCAGAGGGTCATGTCGCCTACGCCGGCAAGGGCGTCGCTTGGTCAGGAGGACCAGGCGTGTGCGCCGGCTGTTCTTGCTGGGCGGGGCCACGAGGTCCAGGGCCAAGTGTCCCTGGAGAACTGTCGCCAGGGTGGTGTGCACGACAAGCAGAGCCAGCTGCTGTGCGATGCTGATCCGGACCAGGCCGTCCTGGTGGGTCAGATGGCACGGGATTTCTCAAGCGCTGGTGAGGCCCAGCCAAGTCCCAGCGCAGGGGCTGATGCTGGCGGACTCCTCTTCCAGCCGGGTGTGCTAGAGGCGCTATCTAATGCGGTTGCTGGAAGGATCGTCACGGTTGGTGGTGATACAGGAAATAATGCCTCACGCTTTAAATTCAGTGCAACTAAAAATCATATGCAGGGCACTTCAAAAAAGAAAGATAAAAAGAGAGGGGGGCCAAATAGAGCTGAGGATGCCCGTAAGCAGGTTCTAGGGGAAAAAAGAGCACATTCTTTTGGAGCTCGTCCGACGGGTAGTGACCTAGAGTTCCCCTTTGAGAAAGAGATGGATAGCTATGAGCGCATGCTATATGGTGATGTAAACGTCTCATTCAAACGGGTGTGCACGGATAGAGTTGTAGTAGTCCAGGACAAGGAGGGCGGGGTGACACACATTGCAAAGGAGATTGATGAGGAGGAAGAAGAGTACGTGCCGCGAAGTGTGGAATCGGTTGACGAAGAGAAAGATGAGATTGGCACATCGGCGGCCTCCGAGGAGGAGGGCCGCCGGGCCAAATGAAAATCCTAGGATGGAACTGCCGTGGTATGCTCTCCAACACGGCAGTTCGTGAGCTTCTGGACATACAGGAGCGTACAAGGGCAGAGTTAATTTTCCTTTCTGAATCTCATTTGAATAAGTGTAAAGCCGATGAGCTTCATCGTGTCCTAGGTTTTGATTCTATGTTTGTAGTGGAAAGCGATGGCAAAGCCGGTGGCCTAGTTTTAATTTATCATAAGTCAAATAAAGTCGAGTTGAACTATGTCCTGCCCCATTTTATTGATATTGTATTCATGCATGAGGATATGGTTAAGTGGCGATTCATCGGTTTTTATGGTCACCCGAAATGGAATGAACGCCATCTATCTTGGGAGGATATTCACAATCTTCATAGTAAAGGAAACCATCCGTGGGTGGTTCTAGGAGATTTTAATGAAATTCTTTACCCTTCGGAGAAGGAGGGTGGCATGGCAAGACCAATTGGTATGATGAGAGAGTTTCGTGAATGCCTAATGGATTGTGGGCTCGATGACATGGGCTATACCGGTGACATTTTCACTTGGAGGAGAGGAGAAATACGTGAACGCCTTGACCAGGCAGTCTGTAATATAGCATGGGCAAATAAATTTCCTAGAGCGGCGGTGATCAACGAAGAACATGTCCACTCTGACCATCGCCCAATCATTCTGGACATGGAATATTTGGATGGAAAAATCTTTAAACGACCGGAGGGGCGTGTTAAACAATTTGAGGCGAGGTGGTTGAAGGAAGAGACGGTGACTGAAATTGTTAAGGCATCGTGGGAGAAAGCAAAGCTCGCATGTATTGGACCTTCACTTGCGGACCTTACAAGAGCAGTGCATACCGATCTATATACTTGGGATCGGGAAACATTCAGATATTGGGGACTTGAAAGCTCCAGGGCCAGACGGACTCCGTGCTATTTTCTATAAAAGGTTTTGGCCCATGCCGGGGGAAGACCTAATTGAGGAGGTTATGAAAGAAATTAACACTTGTACTATCCCGAATGGCTGGAATGAGACGACAATTGTGATGACTCCTAAAATTAATACACCAGAAAAGGTAACTCAGCTTACACCAATCAGCTTATGTAATGTGGTCTATAAGATAATTTCCAAAATGGTGGCTTCCGCATCATGCACCTCATGGGTAGTGGGCACACGGCGGTTACCATCAACGGTACAATGGGCAATTTCTTCCGAAACAAACGTGGTCTTCGGCAGGGAGATCCGAGCTCACCACTAATCTTCAATTTCGTTGCGGATGCCCTTGCGGCAATGATTAACAAAGCCAAAGCGGCGGGACACATTCGTTGGCTCATTCCCCGCCTCATCCCTGTTACTCATCTACAATACACATACGATACGATGCTTCATTTCAAACCTGACGACCATAGTATCGCCTCGGTTAAATTACTGCTCCTCGCTTTTGAGATCTTGTCGGGGCTTAATATCAATTTTCTAAAAAGTGAAGTGATCACCGTAGGGATGGAGGATCAAGAAAGTAGGCGGATTGCCAATGTGCTCAATTGCAAGATTGGAAGATTTCCGATCAAATATCTAGCACTCCTGATATCGCACAAGAATCTGACCATAGCAGAATGGGAGCCGCTCTATGGCAAAGTGGCTAACCGGGTTAGCCCGTGGAGAGGGAGGTTTATGTCATCGGTAGCTAGGCTGATTTTGACCAACTCTAGCCTGTCCTCGCTCCCTCTTTTCAAAATGGGGATGTTTCTCCTCGCGGATGGAGTGCATGCCAAGCTTGACACTCCGAGTTCCCGGTTCTTTTGGGAAGGAACCGATACTAAACGCAAATACCATTTGGTGAAATGGGCCGCGGTATGCAGACCAAAAAGTTCGGCGGTTTGGGGATCACGAACTCGAAACTCATGAATGTTGCCCTGCTCACCAAATGGTGGTGGCGCCTTGCCCAAAATGAGTCGGGACTCCGGACGGA